AATATTACATTTCAATATCCTGGTGGAACCTTGCATATTTTCAGGATATCTTCGACCGATCTTCGTAGCGCCTCTTCCAACTCGAGTAGAACTTTCTCTTTAAAACTGAAATATGTATCCCACATAGATCTAATATATGCTCGAGTCTTGAGCTCAAATTTTCGGAACACAATGTTCTTTTCATTGGAAACCGAAGGTGAGTGGTACTCGAGCTTCACGACCCTTCATTTATCTCTGGAAGGTAGAAGATAGTGGATTTTGTCTAGGATACCTTCGACGGAGGTGAAATCGGTGAGCTTAAACATCCTCCTGCTAGAGTAGGAGACACTTGCGACATACCAACGAATGTTTATTTGTGACATTTTGAGTTTGTATAAAATATAACACAAAGAACACTTAAATTTTTAGAAGACCTAGTTCAATATGGACCGCTCATTGACTATCATATTGATTCCGGATATATATATGCACCTTACTATCTTGTTCTTGAGTTACATCTCCAAAACTTTTCCTGAACCATTTCAAAACAAAACAAATAAATTAACCTTCTAGAGATTTATCTCTGGAACTTTCCCTGCAACATTTCAAAAACAGAACCATATAACAAACATTCACATTAAGAAGAAATATGAGCCAAATATGCATAAAGATCAAATATGAAGAAAAAGTGAATATGTAACACTTCATTTATATTAAGATACAAATTTATACAAATATTTGTCCGATTAAACAAGAAATAAAAATGAATTGAAACAAGTGTCGTCAACTAAATCTATAAATGGTACCCCCTTAGACTTTGGTGCATTTGATTCTTTTTCGACGTTGTTCAATCTCTCGAATTCCTGCATCCTTTCCATGAAATGATCCAGCCAATTCTCGACATTTGCAGTTGAATGACACGCCCACTCCGATGATGTAGGTGGTATGGGGCAACCCGGTTTCAAGTAAACATGAACAAAATGACTAGATTTTGAGAGTCATCCAATACACATGATACGATCATGCAGCTGGAAGTTATCTCAAATAGTTCCGGAGATACATCTTCGAAAAATCCTGACATGCAAAAGTGACAGAAAAATTCAAATTACCGCCCACAATTTCGGATACATATCTCTGGAAAATCCATTGAACTGAACATTTTAAATGTTTTTCCCAAACTATTTTGAAGATATATCTCCGAAATAAAACTATATCAAATGCATGGGGGCGTCACTCATAATGGTCTTTGTTAGATTTGTATAGGATGCTTCCGACGATATATCTCCGAAAACGAGAGGCATAATGGAAAATCCACACGGTGCGTTAGAAATTCATAGGGTGGAAAAATAAATTCTAAAAAAAAGAGCCTATAATAGGTCATAGTTTTCTTCTAAAGCCTAACCTAACTTATTTTCATCCTTAATTGGATGAAAGCGGTTTCTTCTTAGATCCATTTCCTTGTTTTAAGATTTTTTATTTCTTTTTTTCCTCATTAATTCTCAAATCATAAACTCATTGAATTACAAGATTTTTCAAAAAATTTCTCTTCTTTTATTCTTCTTAAAAAATGAGTATTAATTGGAAAAAAATGTTTTCATCAAAAATGTATTTGAAACGAGAATGAAAAAGGAAAGAGAGAAGATCAATTTTAGTCTCTCACAAAAACTATCGAATTTAAATTAATCTCTAAGAAAATAAAAGAACGTATTTAATCCCTTACAAAATTTAACTCAACGATAATAGTTTCTCTATTAATATTTTTTTTCAACCATTTTTTTTACTTCAAAATCATGATTGGACTGCGATATATATTATTTATACAACTAATAATTACGTGGCCAGTCACGGTGAATTTTATTTTTTATTTTTTAAATACTAAATTGATTTTTTTAATTTCAATTTTATTTTAAAACAATTTAAATTTAAAAATATCAAAAAGCCAAAATAATTTATTCGTAAAAGAATTGTACTCATGAACCTTAGTCTAGGGGTGTTCATGGATGCGGGTCGACCCGCAAACCCGCCTACCCAAACCGAACCAACCCACTAATTATTCGGACCCATTCATTTACGGGTATACCCGACCCAACCCGTAACAACCCGTATAGATTTGGTTCGGGTATTGGGTTTTAGTTTCTAAACCCATGAACCCGTTGACGTGGTATAATTAATTATTATTATTATTATTATTATAAATTAAGGTATATTAATGAAAATATATAAATAATTAATGGTGTATATGTATCTTAATATTTTTTATGACAAAGAAAATACATTTCAAAATTTTAATTGTTATATTTTTAATTATTCTATTTTATATGTTGGATTTGTCTCCACTACGTAAATAATTTAATTGTTTGAAATATGCAAAATTATATTGAATTGTGTTATAGATTTTTTAAATTGAAAATAATAATTATTATATACACAACCCGTGGACCCAACCCGTAAATATCCGGGTTAATTCGGGTCGGTTTTTAAAGTAGAATTACGAGTTTGATGATAAACCCAACCCATTGAAAGTTGAACGGGTTGGGTAACGGGTTAAGGCGAACCCGGTCCAACCCAACCCGCGTACACCCCTAAACCTTACCACTAATAATTACGTGGCCAGTCATGGTGAATTTTATTTTTTATTTTTTAAATACTAAATTGATTTTTTTAATTTCAATTTTATTTTAAAACAATTTAAATTTAAAAATATCAAAAAGCCAAAATAATTTATTCGGAAAAGAATTGTACTCATGAACCTTCAAAACACTCGAACTCAAGTCTCTTCAAGTTAAACATTAGTCACTTTACCACCAAACAAATCCACTTCTATTGTTAATATTTCCAAAGATAGTTACTTAACTTAATATTTCAAAATAATTATTTATTTATTTACTTATTTCAAATAATACAAACATAAATATTTACTTCTTTCAAATAATACACAAGTTTAAAAATAAAATTAATAAAATTTAAATCCTAAATATAATTAATCAAATAGAAATAAATTTATTAATATTTTATTGAGTTACTATTAAATTAATTAAATATTATTTAGTTTGAATTAATTACAGTTTTAAAAAATTAATTGATTATCTAATTTGAATTAGTTAAATATTTTAATATTGAATTAATTTACTATTAAATTAACTTATTATTATTTAATTTGAACTAATTTGAAATAAGTAAATTTGTATGTTTTTTAAAATAGGATTTACATCAAATAACACACAAATATATATTTACTTATTTCAAATTATTTTTTATTTAAATTCATAATTATTTAATATTGCTATAAATCATGAGAATTATTTGTCATCAATTTACATTTGCCTAGTAGTAAATGCATAAGATTTGGCTTAAAGGTCTCTGGATTCAATTTCTTCTGAGAAAAAATTTTGACATTTTTTTTATATTTTTAAATCTAAATTTTTTAAAAATAAAATTGAAATTAAAAGTAAAAATCAATTTAAATATTTTAAAAATGCATGTGACATACATAATACACAGTTCAATCACGAACAAAAAGTACGAAAAAATCAATTAAAAAATATATATTAACATACACACTAATATAATCCGGTTAAATTTTATATGAGATAAAATAGAGTCTTTTATTTTTTTCGAGGATTAATTTGAGTTATGTAATTTTTGCAAGGAACTAAAATGAATCTCCACTCAAAAGAAAAATTAGATTTTAGAATTTCCAATATATGAGATATTAGATTGCATAAATATGGGTTTTAATAACAAAGAAAATGATTGGGAGAGATTTTATATTTTTGGGGGTAAGGATGAGGGCTAAAAGATTCAAAAAAGAAAGAATTACAAAAACACATCTTTAGAGGTAAGTTTCTAACCTATGCTTCACTAATAAATGCTCAATATAACTCGGAGCAGTAGAGGAACAAGACAATTCCGTAAATAAATTATACTCGGTTGATTGGGAGAGATTTTAGAATTTTCAATAGGTGAGATATTAGGTTGCATGATATGGGTTTTAATGACAAAGAAGATGATTGAGAGAGAAGAACTTTGATTTAGAAATTCAAATTTATTTACTTATTAGTATTATTTTGTAATTTTAAATTTAGTTTAATACAATATTTGATACTTTTCATAATTTATAAGTTATGATTTTAATGATATTATAAATTTAATAATACACATAGATTGTGCAACATCATCGTATCATTTGGCATATCATTAATAAAATATCACATCATTAATTTTGAATGTTAAAATATGAGTGAGAGACGTGTTTAAAAATGAAATGGAAAGACTAATTTTGTTAATAGATTAAATTAAAGAGTCCTAAAATATATGTCAATATCAACTATTAAAATATATAGTAACAAATATTTAAATTATTTAAAATTATATATATATATATATATATATATATATATATATATATATATATATATATATATATATATATATATATATATATATATATATATATATATATATATATATATATATATATATATAATTATTATAATAATATTAGATAAATCAATATAAAATTGATTTAATTTAATTTTCATATAGAGTTATTAAAGTTGTATGTATTTAGTTATTCTCTTAATGCACAATTCACATTATTCCAAATGTAATACAGAATGCACAAATAATAACAGTACAAATAATACTTGGTGAGTAATTCAAATGCTTCGCTCAGGTTGAGTTAAAAAGACACGTAATCTGGTTTTCAATTCATGACTCGTTGATTTATAATTTATAAATATTAATTATAACTCAACAGTTTTTTTTAAATAAAAAAAATCAGTATTCACAAAACTAAGCATATGTACTATTTCCAAAATAACTGTGTTGAGCAAGTTCCAACCGATAATCTCGGTCCAACATAACAAGAATATTCATATATAACTTTTTAAAAAAGATTTAAAAATAAAAATAAAAACCTAAAACAAGGTTGTTTGCATTGTAACACCTCAATAATAATTTGATCATCAGAACATTTTAATAAAATATTCCTAGTTTAAATCAAACTCAGTATGTTAGTACTATCTAACAGAAGAAGATTGGTGTTGTTTGGCATTATTTCTCTTGAGTCTCAAAATGTGAATCCTTCTCTGTCTTGCTTGAGAAGCTCTTACTTTACCCGAATCTTTAATTGCTTCAAATGATACGTTCAAATCAGGAATGAATAATGGGGCCTTATTATCACTGTTGCGGCCCATTGAAGATGATGATGATGCCACTCCCAACGACGTCGTTGGATCAACCCCTAAATTGTTGCCATGATGAATTCTCTGCTCTTCATTTTGAGTAGTGGAATTGGAAGTGTTGACTGAACTATTGATGATATCATTCACTTTCATTGGCTTATTAATCTCTAAATTGGGAATTTTGTATTCACCTTTGGGACCATTAATAATTAGCTGTAAAAATAGCAATTTCCATGAATCAAAAAACAGGATTGACCCCACCATAGATACAACACAACACATGTATAACAAAAAAGTCCAAAAAAAAAATAGTAATACGTACGAATCTTATAAATAAATAAAGGATAAGGAAAGTAATCCCAGACCCGGTAACAAAACAAAAAAAAGTAGATGAAATTTTGTGAAAATTTGGGAATTCATATAATAATAATTAAGGAAAAAAGAGCATACCTTTTTTCCCTTTGCTGTCAATTTGGAATTGGCGAGCTTCAATTCTTCACAATCACGTTTCACATTTGCAATCTCCTATTTCCATTTAAACATCAAACATTCAGAAAAAAAAACATTAAAAAAACGCATTTCATGAAAATCCTAATAATTAAGAATAAAATAAAATAAAATAAACTTACTTGAGTGATGGAGTCTTTAGTATTCGTCAAACCTTCAATAATATTAAGATAGTGCTCTCTCTTCTGTTCACAAAAAAACCATAACTCAAAATTGAAAGAATAAACAAAACAAAAAAAGAATTATAAAATTGGGTATTTTTTCCAACACAACGTTAATATAGATAAAATTATAGAGAAAAAAAATAGAGAAAATTATAAAAAAAGTTTACCCTTTTGAGAGAAGTTGTTCTTTCGGAATGTTTAATCTTGTCATCTGATTCAGTTGTTGGAAACGAATGAGGGGTTGTTGGACTTGAAGCTTTCACTTTAACGGCGTCAGAAGGAGGAGGAGGAGGAACAACGGTGGCTGCGCCGCCGCCATTAGAACAAGGTGTATTACGAATTGGAGATCTCTTCTTTCCACACCCCCATGAGTACGGCACATGGCTGAACAAAGAGAAAGTATGATACAAATTAGCAAGAATTTCCGCAGTTTCAATCTCACTCTCTGACCAATCGGAATTACTCTGTTCCATCTCTCTCTGTTTAATTGTGTTTGAAATTTTGGAAGATAAAGGATTTATAGATAAAGGCCCAGGTACTAAGATGCTGACACGCGTCCATTAGGAAATCACGATTTGCGCCTCAATAGATACATAACTAACTAACTAGGGTTTATGTATGCCTCTTTTCAACCCACATCAATAGATACATAACTAACTAACTAGGGTTTATGTATGCCTCTTTTCAACTCACAAAATCTCGTTTGTGAAAGGCTACGATTTTTTTGGGAGAATGGACACCTAAGGGATTTGACTTGATTGCTCTCTCAAGGAGATCTCGAATATTTATTTTATAAATAAACCATTAATAATATTTTTATTTATTTTTAAATGATTTAAATTTTTTAATGTTTTTAAAAGAGAAAAAAAGTTACTAGTAGAGATTAGACTAAGTAAAACTTATAATAGGAGTATTCAATAATAATTGAATCATGTATATATTTTCATAAATCATAAATAAAATAGTAATAAAATTATTTTTAAGATAACAATTTAAAATTGAATATTTTATATTTTTCACTTAAAAATATACAAAAAGTATTTTGTTATTTTTTATATGCACACATCTTTTGTAACTATATATGAAGAGAAAACAACCACATAATCTCATCACATAAATAATAATAAAATGAAGAATTAATAGTATTTGTTTAAATAAAATGAATAATAAATAATTCAAAATAAAAATGTGTTGCTAACCTGCAACTTTTACATATTACAATTTACAATCCACAAAATGTTGCCACAACCAATATTATCTAGACCAATAGCATATTTTTAAATATTATCTAGACCAATAGCATATTTTTAAGACTTTTTGTCATACTCTCAATAATTATGCAGTGTAATAAATAGTTTGAATAGATATATATATTCAAATGATATTTTTGCATCTGAAAATAATTCAAGTCGTTAATGACGCAATAAATCACTCGAAAATAATAACAGAAACAAAATTTTAGATAAAGAGAATGAGAAGGAAAAGAAAGATTGTAAAAGGTTTAGAAATCTAGAATGAGTTGAAAGAAGAACCATATTTATAGGTAATCGTGAGAGAAAAGAATGGAGAAAATTCTGGGAGAATGAAACCAACTCAGTTAAAGTAGACGTTATACACTTAGTAAACACGGAAGTGGGGAGACTTTTACGATTAATTAATTAATAATTAATTAATTTGTAATTTAATTACAACACACCACTGTTAATTAATAATAATATATTTATTTATTTATTTTAATTATAATTAAAATAGGGGAAAAAATAAAAAATAAAAATAGAGAAATCAAAATTGCAATTAAGTTTAAATTAATTAATATTAAATAATTTTTTGGGTACCAAAAATTTGGATCAACCTCCAAGCCCAAGACCGGACCAGACCGAACCGAACCGAATCGGTCGGATGGCGGCGACACGCGTTATGTTTCATGGCACTGTGTTCTCACCAACCACAAAATTGGGTACCCTTTGAGACTCAACCCAATTTGTCCACTTGAAATATATAAGCACTGCTAAAGTGTGCTCTCCATCCTACGTGGGACTTTAATGAACCTTTTCAAATTCACCAAGACTCTTTAACTCATACTTGTGCTCATTTATTGTCAACTTAATACCATTAACTTCTTCCAAGTCCCCAATCCAAGTTATCATCATTCTAAATATTTCAACAATCCCCCACTTGAATTTAAAACGTGATTTTAGAATGAACGTCAAATGTTTCTAAGATTGTGCATAAGTAAAGGTGTCTACAACTTGAACCTTTACGTAGCAGGTAGAATTATGATTCAACAAAAGTGACACCGTTGTCTTGAACTCTATCTCAGACATCAAACTCGCACACAACCTTTTTGTAAGGTGAATTCTAATAACATGGGCTTTTATGACCCTTCACGTGTATCCTGGTTTAGTGAAGGCTCTAGGAATTCTTCCTCACAATTTCCTAGGAACCGACCCAAGTTCCCCAATTACAAATGTGGGTCTATCAAGAGTACTCATGTAGCCTAGGTAGTCATTCATACGGAGTATAAATCTCATTAAGAGTTTCTATTGTCTCATTCTCTTATTACTTTAGGATTCATGTTTCACTTGCATGATCATCTCATATTGCTCATGACTTGTTATTACCCATTAAACCTATTTCTTGGGATCTTCAATCATCTAGGTCGGGTTATTATCATGAGCAACTCAATTTTTTTATAGGCATTAGTCTCATCTTCTTGTATGTATTATAGACTTTCTCTATTGCTAATCCTTTCGCCAAAGAATCTGCTAAGTTTTCATCAATGCGTACCCGATCCACTCTTACAACTCCTTTAGAGATACAATCTCTAACAGTGTTGTGCTTTCTTCTAATATGACGTCTTTTACAATTATAATAACGACTCTCAATTTTTGTAATAGTCGCGGTACTATCATAGTGGATCAACACAACTGACATAGGTTTTTCCCACAGAGGGATCTCTGCTAGAAATCATCTTAACCAACTTGCTTCTTCACTAGCTCTGGCTAGTGCTATCATCTCAGACTCCATTGTGGGCTGAGCTAGGATAGTTTGTTTCTTTGATTTCCAAGATAGAGTTCCTCCAGTTATACTAAATATATAGCCACTAGTAACTTTAGAATCATTTGATAAGGTGTTCCAATCTGCATCACTATACCCTTATAGTACACTAAGAAAATTCTAGTAATATAGGCCGAGATCTATGGTTCTTTTAAGGTACCTCATGAATCATTCAATAGCTTGTTAGTGCTCATTACTCGACCTACTCGTAAACCTGCACAATAATCCCACGATATATGTAATGTCAGGTCTAGTACAATCAGCGACACACATAAGACTGCAAATAATGCCTGCATATTTTGTTTATATGACACTTTCACCAGTGTTCTTAAATAGTTTCACACTTGGATCATATGGTGTGCATGCAGGTTTACAATCAAAGTATTTATATTTCTTTAAGTTCTTCTTTATATAGTGTGATTGATCCAAATAAATTCCCTCTTCGGATCTCGTGATCTTGATACCAAGGATCACACTTGCTTCTCCAAGGTCTTTCATATTAAATTTGTTGCACACCAATGATTTCACATCATTAATGGTCTGAATGTTTGATCCAAATATCAGTAGATCATTTACATAGAGACATATGATAGTGCATATGCGATTATCATATTTTAGTTTCTTTTTCAAAACTCATTTACAGTTGATTGGTTTGCAACCATGAGGCAAGTCTACTAAGTTCCTAAACTTGTTAGATTCTAGAGATTCTATATCATCATTAATAGCTTCTTGACCTAAATTTGCATTCAGAGATGACAAGGCTTTTTGAATAATTATTGGATTTTCTTCTACATTATAAGCCGCATAATCAGGCCCAAAATCTTAGGCAACCATTACTCTTTTACTTCGTCGAAGTTTTGTTTCTACATTGTCGCCGCTTTCTGTGCTTCTTATCACAGAGATCTAACTCGATTTAGTTCCCCACTATTTCTTGATTTGAAAGAAAATTTGTCTTCATGGAATTCAACATCATTTGATTCTGTGATCACTTTTGAATTTAGGTCATAAAACATATATGTCTTACTAGTTATTGCATACCCAATGAATACACATTCATAGGCTTTACTAGCGAGTTTAACTCCTCTCGGATCCAGAATTTTAACATAAGGTAGACAACCCCAAGTTCTCAAATAAGACAGGTTTGGTTTTCTTTTCTTTAATATCTCATAAGGAGAGATCTTAATTTTTGACTTGGAAACTCTATTCAGAACATAGCAAATAGTCAATAAAATTTCCCCCCACCAATGAGGTGCAACACCAAAATTCATCATAATTGCAACAATAAGTTCAATAATAGTTCTATTCTTGCTTTCTTCTTTACCATTCATTTCAGGAGAATATGGAGCAGTCATTTTATTTATAATTCCATTTTTGGTATAAAAATCATTTCATAACCCATAATCGTATCCAGTTACCCTATCACTACGAAGTCTCTTAATTTTCTTACTAAGTTGATTCTTAATTTCAGTTACATACATCTCAAATATGTCAAGTGCGTCACTTTTATTCTTAATTAAGTATACATAAGTATAATCAGAACAATCGTCAATAAACGTGACAAAATAACATTTACTGTTTCTAGTTAAAGTTTCGTCTAATTCTTATATATTAGAGTGTATAAGATCAAAGGGATCATATTCTTTAATAATTGATTTATACGAAGTTTTAGTGATTTTAGATTGACTACAATATTCACATTTATTTGTATCATTGACATTTAATTTAGGAATTAGGCCTAAGTTGCTTACATTAGAAATAACTCGCTTATTAATGTGACAAAGTCTAACATGCCAAATATTGAAACCACACAAAGAGTAAACAGAAGGAGAAATTTTATTCAAATCAACATTCAACTTAAACATGCCATCAGTGGCGTACCCTTTCCCAACAAAAATACCACTCTTAGTGATGGTGTACAAATATGCCCCAATAGACTAACTAAACCATGTCTTATTCAAAAGAAAACCAGAAACAAGATTCTTTCTAATTTCAGGAACATGCATGATGTCCTTCAAGATTAAAGTCTTTCCTGAGGTGAATTTTAACGTAATGTCTCCAATTCCAAAAACATTGGTGGTGTGAGCATCTCCCAACAACATTTCTTATCTCCAGTATTTGTGTATATCTTGAACATAGCACGATCATAGAAGACATGACGAGAGGCACCAGTGTCTATCCATCAACCATCACTTCCACTAACCATGTTGATTTCAGTGATCATAGCAATGAATTTCTCACCAGTCAGGTTAACCTGTGCACTAGAGCCATCGGGTTTAGGCCTTCTCTTACATCTCTTAGCCATATGACCCAGTTTTCCACAACTAAAGCAAGTGAAAATTGGAGCAACGTTTCTTTGAGTTGATGGTTGTTGTCTAGCAATCAGAGCAGATAGGCCCTAGAGGGATTCAAATTCTTA